ATTTTCAAGTAAGAATCACAACATTTCTTTCTTACATAAAAAAAGAAGCCAACATATATAATAAACTTAAATTCTTAGTTAAATGTCTGATGTTTCAAGTTAAAGCAAGCAGCAGAGTCACGTGTCTCAGCCTCGGCGCCACATGGTTCCGCCTCTTTGTTATAAGCAGAGATAAGCTCCTCCCACCTTATAAGCAGAGGTAAGCCCCTCCCACTTAGCGTCTCATAACATCGGCAGGCATCACCGGGGGAGACAGCTGAGAGCTAGCTGAGAGAGAAGCTCGGTCACTTCTGCAGAGTTCATTTTATTGCCGCTGCGCCTCCAGTTTACCACAGTCAGACAACAACAAAAGAAAGCCGTCCCTCGCCCTGACAGCTCACGGCGCAGTCTCACATTAACGGACGGCGCGTTTTGTTTTATTCAGGAACTCAGAGGTGAGTGCTGGAAACGTCAGTTAACGAACACTAATCTCCCTATGCAACCTTCCTTGTGTCTCATCAAAGGGGAGCTAATGTGTCGAAACCGTGTCAACTCCCGACTTCCTGTCACCCTCTCAGTCGGTTGAAAAACAGCCGGTGGCAGTCGGCTAGCGTAATAATATGTTTGTGAACAAGCTGTTCTTTGAGCCGAGTTTTTAGCAGTTATGACTGAAGCGACGAATCCAGTAGCAAAAAAAAAAGACAAAAATCCTCGTAAACACTGAAGGCTGGAGCAGAGAGAGGAGCTGGGGAGATAAACTCGATCAAATCAAAGTGCCACATAGAGATTAGCTAAAAGTAAAAGAATAAAGTCCTAGGTCTATTACTTCCTTTGGTGTGTTGCAATGCTGTACATTAATAGCCAGGGATCGTTGACATGTCTAATAGTTTGTTTTTTCATGATCTGTTTCTCTCCAGCCCAAGCAGAAACTCCACCAGGTTAGCACCAACAAAAACATACAATCTAAGAGCCAAAGTCAGCTAATTCACCAGGCTATTGTTTTTTTTTACTCCTTCAGAAAGTGTTCAATGCTTAATCAAAAAGTTTCAAATGTAATGAATGAATGATGTTTGAGATAAGCAGGTTTGTTATCTCTCAGCTGACTCACCACCCTTTGTCTCTCTGGCAGCTGTCATGCCCTGCTGTTGATATCCCACTGTATGGAGACCTTTAATCAGTCACACATCAGGAAGTTTTTTCATCATATCCTTCCAAAGGTTTAAAATCTGGTAGCCAAATTAGGTGTTAGATTTTTATTTACTTGAGTAGTTAATCAATGCTGCCCCTCCTCCACCCGTTGCTGTTTACACTGCTATTAAGTTACTCTGTGAAAAGAAGGCTGCTGCAGCTTTTTAAAGCTTAGAAGAAGAGGATTACAATTTTGTAAACAAGCCTTTTTTGACTCCCTTTTTTTTTCCAGACACTGAACAGTTTAAAAGATGACGACTTCGTGGAGTGACAGATTGCAAAATTACGCAGACCTGCCTGCCAACATGGACGGCCTGGCTATGAAAAAGTACAGGAGGGAGCCGTACCACAGGTAAGAAGCACAATTCTATGTTGAGAACATGCAGGAAGAATGGCAATCAGGATCCAATCTCTTGTAATGTTGACTTTTGATGAACATGACTTACTTTGCACATTTATGGTATGTAATATTATTGAGCTGGTCTCTCATGTTTTAAGGAATAGAAGTCAGAGGATTGTACAGAATACATTTTAATTTAAACAAAGATAAAGATGTCTTTTGAATATGTCTTCTTAGTTTCTTGTATTTTTGCCCTTACTGTACCTTTGGCGATTGTTAATCAAAATTATTGAACAGACATCATTTCGTTTCACCTGCAATGTAATGGGGTACTTGAAAATAAATGTTTGGTTCTGTATATATCAAACTTGAGATTCCTTACATATGGGTTTTAAAGGCTTATATTGGTCGCTTTTAACCAGACACGAACAATCCTCTGATCTACAGTAAAATGCCTGTGGGTTACTTGAATCAGGGAGGTTTAGAGGGGTATATTTGACTAACTTACTCTTCTGTTTGTAAAACATTCAAAGTTATTCTTACCTATAGTCTTTGAAGGAACACCATGTTATCCAATGTGTTTCACATAAATACTCTGAAAAGTGTTACAAATGCCTGTTATGTGATCAAATATCTAACATATAATAGGCTAAAATGAACTAATTTGTTCTACCATGCATCAGTCTCTTGATTAGTTACCAGCCTAAATATGTATTAAGGATTAATTATTACCAGCCGCAAAATTAAATGAAAAAAACCTAATAACTTTATGTAAGAATCATATTAATACTTATACTATACTTGCATTAAACATTACATTAGATGTAAATGACTATTGTAACTGGTTGCTAAGAGAATCAAGAATGCATTTATTAACCATACTAATCTACTTTCACAATTAAATATTTAAACAAATCCTGACACAAAGCAACACTAAGAGAACATTTTTGTGGGATAATGAAGCAGGTTTAACAATTAACTTACTAAGGTTTCTGGTATCTCTCTGACGTTGAAAGAAAAAAGCTGTTTGTCTGATTTAAGTGATTATATCCCATTTTAACTTAGAAAATAATAATTTAGGAAAAGGTAAATACTCCTAGGGATTCAACAGTGACAAATTCTTTGACAGAGTGAGTTTCACACCAGAACCTGCCCTAATAGAAGTATTGGTTTTCTTCACTATCTGTTTGGCTCACAGAACTGCATTTGGATCACTACCCAGCAGGTTCTCACAGTCTCTTTTTTTCAGCTTATTTGTCAGGAGAGAATCTCACGCAACCAGCTATTTATTCAGCCTCGGGTACACAAGGACCTCTGGGTGTCTTTGGGGCTCATTACTTGAGAACATACTGAACCAATCGTATAAAAGAAGGTGAAAAAAACCAACTTTGATAAACATTGCTAAATGGAACTGACACGTTTCCTCTGCATATTTTTGTGCAGGAAAAAAACCAAGCAAATCTCATTGCTGCAATTCACATTGAAATACTGCACCAAAAATATAAAGCCTATTGTGCACAACTATTATGCAACCTTTAGCTGGACGGGTTAATGAAACCTGCTTCAGACTGGTAGAGCAGAATGTCTGGATTGATTTATTTTTGTGCCCTTTTCTCCTCCTCAGCTGCACCTCAGAGTTGATCGTTTCCAACAGATAGAATCCATCACCAGGCCATGGTATACCTAGAAAATAGAAAAAATAGAACTCTTCTGCTTAACTTGTTTGAACATCAGGAGATTACAGAGAACACACTGTAGCTAAGATTCCCCTGATGGATTCCACAATGTTCGCATATTTAGCCTTAAGAAATAAAAAGACAAGTATGGATACAGATTTTAATTTATTAATCAGTCTTGATATATTACATCTAATTATACTTGTACTCCACGTCTCCCGCTTATCCGGGACAGGGTCATGGGGTAGCAGTCTCAGCAGAGACTCTCAGACTTCCCTCTCTCTAGACACCTCCTCCGGCTCTACTGGGGGAAGCCCAAGGGCCTCCATGGCCAAGCAAGAGTCCGTCCAGCATGTGGGAATGTCCGCATGCTGTCCCCTGGTCCTCTCCCTGGTGAGATGTGTCCGAAACACCTACTGAGGGAGGAGTCATTGGGCATCTGAAAAAGAGGTCTGAGCCACTTCAGGTGACTCGTCTGTAAGGGAGTGCCAGGGCCAGCCAGCGGAGAAAGCCATCTTGTTCTTCCGGTCATGATCCATGATGATTTTAATGACCAAAGATTAGAGAATCGAATGTAGAAATACTGTTAAATTGAGAACTCTTCCTTCTTGCTCCCCTTTCTCTTCACCACACCATGCTATAATATAGCTTCTGCATTTTAGTAGCCGTAGCACAGATCCATCTTTTGATTTCCTGCTCCATTCTCTAATCACTCAAGAACAGGACCCCAAAATACTTGAACTACTCCCCTTGAGGCAGGAACTCTCTTCGAACTTTGAAGAAGACAAGCTACCTTTTTGCGGTTGAGAATAGGGTTGTCAAAAGTATCGATACTGAAACGTTGTTTCCGGATACAATACTCATTTTCAAAAGTATCGAGTACCAGTGGCACCTAAACAGTCATTCATCTAAAGTGCAGAATAGAGGAAAATGTACTTTCTGAACACTGTGTGATTGAATAATTCTGTGCATTTTTCAGTTTCAGACTTTTTTTGTAACAGGTGCAGCTGCTGAGAATTATTTTTGTTTCTTAACCGGTCTGACTAGTGTCATTGTTATATGTGCAAAGCATAGCCAAGGAAGGAAAACTTAATTTTAATTTTGTAAGTTTTTTATCAAGCTTGCTTAATATTTTGCATAGCATACAATCTCAGAATATTGTTCTTATTGTTTATTGTATTTATTTATTTATATTAACGAAAATTTCTGTTGAGTTTTGGAGTCTTTGTTTTTATTCTTGTGGTATCGAAAATGGTATCGAGTATCGAATATTTTCATTAGTATCGGTATCGAGTTGAAAAGTTTAGTATCATGACAACCCTAGTTGAGTACCATGGCCTCGGCCTTGAAGGAGCTGATTTTCGTCCTGGTTGCTTCCCACTGTGCTGCAAACTGCTCCAATGCATGTTGTTGGTGTGGGCGGGAGGAAGCCAACAGAACCACGTCAGAGGGATGAAATCCTCCGGCTGCCAAACCAGAACCCCCCTGGACCCTGGCTATTCCAAGAAAACCTGTTTATAAATGTTATGAACAGGACCAGTGACAGAGGGCAGCTCTGGCGGAGTCCAACATGCTCCAGGAAAAGGTCTGGCCTATTGCTGGCAATGCAGACCAGGCTCCTGCTCCACTTGTACAGTGACCCCATTATGGTGCCCCCACAGGGGACATGGTCGATTGGCTTCTCCAAGTCCACCTTACAGATAAAAAAAAAAAAAAAAAACTGCTGGGCAAACTCCTACAAACCCCCAGGTGTCCTGTAGAGGGTGCAGAGCTGGTCCACTGTTGCATAACTGCAACAAAAACCACATTGCTTCTCTTAAAGCCAAGATTTAAAAATCAGCCAGGCTCTCCTCTCCAGCACCCTGACTGGCATAGTCATTCCCAAGGAGGCTGAGAGGTGCAATCCCCTTATTGTTGGAACACATCCTCTGGTCACCCTTCATATGGAGGAGAATCACCCCCTCAGTCTGCTAGTCCACGGGCAATGTCCCCAACCGCCAAGTGATGTTGAAGAGGCATGATGGCCTAACACCCAGAGACCTAAGGAAGTCAGGACAGCCTTGACCCAATGGGTTTTTTCTAGACCACCTCTGTGACCTCACCCAGGGTGATGAACATGTCTAACTCCGCTTCCAGGAGCCTAAATTCAGTTTAAGTTAAGATAAAAAGAAATCATTAATAAGTAAATATCAGAAAGTAAAAGGTTCTCATATGTAAGGATATTCAATATTTCTAATTGTACTGAGGTTCTTTTGCAAATGTGCATGGTTTGTTTGTGGATGTTTAGGGGAGTGGCTTCTGCTTCAGTTTTGGTCAGGTAATTGGAGTGGAGCCACACAGTTTTTCTCCTAAGCTTCTTTAATAATTTCATTTTTTTTGGAAATATAATACCTGTATTGTTTGTTTAATTTATTTTATTATTCTTTTTAAAGTAAATGCTTGAACCTAACAGAGAGGAACCCATTTGTTTTTTTGTTTTGTTTTTTTTACCATCAAGCAGATTACAGAGGGTAAAAGAGCGTTGAGCTTATGGCTTCATTACTTAGGAAATTACATTTGTCAAGAAACTCGCTCTACACGGATTGGAAGAATTTGGAGCGGCCTGACCGACAAGGACTACTTGGGAAACTTACACAGAGTACTCAATCTCTGCTTCCACCACGGAAGGCGTGGTAGATTTCCTCAAAGTATTTCTCCCACCATCCTACAATGTTCTCTATTAAGTTCAGCAGCTTCCCGACAGTGGTAGTGAAGCACTGCTAGGCCCTCTGTAGGCGTCAAACAGTTTACCAGAGTTGCTCTTATACTAACTAGTAGTTTTTCCTCCATGGGGTCCCATAGCCTGAGACATGAGTCACATACCCCCTCACTGCCGAAAGGCGCAGGAACGCAACGCTAATCCAACGGGGTAAACTTAAACACGAGACAGCTAAGCTAGGCCGGAGACAAGGTCTTGTCATTGTTAATTCGAAAAATATTTCAGAGGTGTTTTAAAATTTTAGGTCATAAAATAATTGGCATAAAACAGAACTGCCTAACTCCTGTCTCTGAGCGCTAGTATCCTTCAACCCTCTCTCAAATGAGTGGCTTGTTGCCAGGCCTCTGCAGAAATGAATGACCGAATGATGATGGGGGAATTCATCAGCATGTGAGCAGACACGAGAGAAACAGCTGATGAAGGATTATTGGCCTATTTTGTGTTTCAAATTCAATAAGACAAACAAGTTTCTTAATAATAATATGTTGACAGCAAAGCTACTCTCAAATACATGCTGTCAAGGCAGACCTTCGTGGTACGAGTTTCGTCTTTTTGTCTGCCTTCTGTAAAACACAATCATTTTTGCCTCCTTTGACTGCATGTTCACTCTGTTATTTCCAGAAAGTGAATTCATGAATTAAAACTTCGCTCATAGTCAACAAATGAATCTTTTGTTTTTTTGCTTGCAGTTAAATCCAATGCATTTCTTTATCTCTTGCTTTATCAAATAGTCCTTATTTCTGTATACGCTGATGGGGAACCACCCTGCTGTAAAAATCCGTCAGAAATAAGGAAGAGTTCATTCAAGGGTACAGTATTCTACTGTAAGTGGCTGTTTAATGTTTAACTCACAGCCATGGGGACAATGGTTGCTGTTTTTCTGCCTTGCCATCATATCATATGCTGTCCTCAGAGGCTTTATAAACCCATCAGTAATCTGATGGATTTATGTGTGCTGTTAGGGTAAAGGTCGCCCAGTCCATGACAACCCACCCCCCTATTTCAAACACATGCATACAAACCGCCACACGTGTTGGCAAAACAATTCCTTGCTGAGATAATGCATTTGTGTTAGAAGTTGTTGATCAGTTTAGCCCTTTATGTAAATGGAGTCGTTTGTTTATCACACAGTTGGACGGTGGTCCTCTCTAAGACTCAGTGCTATCCTGAGACATCACATCACAGAGGGCGGATAAAACTTTCTATTTCCCAGAGTCCAAACACCGTCTGTGTGAGATTAGAGAGCAGTGGAAAGAATCCGGCCGGTTGTCCCACAGCTGCTTCCATTTGGAGTTAAAGTAATTAAGGGCTTCTCTTGTATACTCGGCGTGGCCCATTGGGGATATTTGTGCAGCGTCGTCAACGTGACCAAAATCGAGGCTGACTACAGCAATCAGAACGCCCATATCTCTTGTCTAGTTAAGGTGGAGCTGGGGTTATCATTAATGGGCGTTCATTGCCTCCCTCTGCCATCCAGTCAAAGGTTACACATTTGATGTCATACCCATAAAAATAGCAAAGCTCTGGATTTAAGTCATTGGCTTAGAATGGCTTCTGCCCCCTCTGCACTTAGAAACTGTGAACATAAACACTCTACCTTTGATTTTTTTATTTGTTCATCTTTTTCTGATTGAAAGCAATAAGCAGTTTAGCCTTCACATTTATCTGCAATCTTAATCAAACCCATAGAAAAATCTGTGGTCATAAGCCTGAACTGCTAATCTCTGAGCGTTCAGCGTGACAGCCAAGATGACCTCTGATTCAGCACTTTCCCGATCAAAGACGGGTGAATATCATGCAGTGCCGGATATTTTCCGGAAAAAAGCCGTACAGTGATTGCTGCTGCGACTGATGCCTGATTCTTGTATTTGTTGTCCACCCAGCGGTGCCTCTACTGCCTTGCTTTGATTCAAAAGTAGGGTTAATCCTGTAATCCTTTCATTTTCTGTTAGATTCAAAACTAATACCTCTGTCAAAGCCCTTTTTATTCCTTCGCATTTGAACAAAAAAAGAATCCATCAAAACTGGAGGCGGAAGGTCAGAAATACAAATAAGACAAACATGGTACTGGCTAGGAAAATTACTGGTCCAGGCTGTTCTTTTGTGTTTTTGTGTATTTATTTCTGATCTTTTAGATCATAATAACAGTGTTATTATGATTACTATTTGTGTTAACTGTAAAGAGTAAGGGTTTATCAGCTTAAACAAAGGCAATAAATCTGTATCAGTGAGAAAAAGTCTTATTGGTTCATTTTATAAAGTAATAAAAAGATTGTTGGTTCCTTTGGGTTTATCCATTGATATTGAGGTGATAAATTGATTTAAGAATAATACTTAATGAGTCCACAAGATGGCTACTGAAATCTGCCACTACCTGTGTTTATTCTGAGGGTGATCTGAGCAGTAAGCAGCTGTTGCTTCGCGGCCCTGCCTGACTTGGGATTGTTCTAGATATCTTTGAGGGAGCCACAAACATCGTACTGCTCGACAACAACAACCCTCACTGACAACAATAGAGAATGACGCGGAACGGCCACAATCAGTTTTGCAACAAGACAGAAAATTTCTGAATGACAAGAAAGCAAAGAGGGAGTGGGGTGTATGTGCGTATGTGGAGGGGTTGTTATTGTTCAGGGTGCCAGAGCTTCACTGTGCTGCCGGAGCACATCGGACAAACGTAGAGTCAAACTAAGGTTTAATTTCACACAGAATGTACTGCCCTTCGTGTCTTGGACTGAACTCTAAATGGGAGCTTGTTCACTATGGATCTGCTGCCAGGTATTTCACAACAGATTGTTTGGGATTCATTGGGATGCAGTCATTCTGAGGAGAACAGCAAGAATTATTATTTTATTTTTTTTCTCTAGATTAACTCTGAGGTTGTGTGCCAGAAAAGCCTTTATTTCAGTGGCTCAGTTCCATTTGTCTGAAGCTGGTTTAGGTCTTATTTCTAGAAAGTTTTGGGTTTGAATTCTTTGGATTTATGTGAAAGGAAGCAGTTGTATATTGAGTTCTGTTTCAGGTAAGCTAGCAGTGTGTAACTGGGTCCTTTGTCGGCATGGCAATATAAACATTGGCTCCATTCAGCTTGTTTGAAACTTTGTTAAGCAAAGAGTCTAATTGTTTACTCTCATTTTAAGGCATATTAATAATAAGGAAATATGATAAAAATATTATTAAAAAGATGTTCACTAATTCTTTTCTCTTTTTGAAATATAAGAAATCAGATTTAAAACTCAAGATTTAAATCTTACCCTTTGGAGGGAAATTGCATAAATTTCACAATTTTATTTCAATTTTATTTTTCAATAATCATAGATGTTGAGGCTTTTGTAGAGAACATGTTACCTTTACAGACCACTACCATGGTGTGCATTCAAAGAATGGAAGACAAGAGTTTTAATTGATATATAATTGCCTATCCATGATTTACTGAAATGTACAGATACTTAAGTGGTGATGCTAAATGAATCGGTGCACTGGTACAAAATAATTAATTGGGAAAAGTGAATTCTAATTAGTTTGCAAATTTTGGTATATGTACCGACATTTCTGTTAGTCTCAAATGGCTTTCCTTTTTAGATTGTGCGTAATATTAACAGGCTTCCCACATGGTTGGATTGTATTTTTTTTAAGGGCAAGTATGTCCTTCAGTGCTTGAAGTAATTTGCTTTATATCCCCATAAGGGTTGGTGTCGCAGCACCAGTTCTGTTCTGTTTTTTTTTTGTTTTGTTTTTTATTTTAATCTCTGCAAAACAGCTTAAAAATGTTGTGCCTGCAAAGGCAGAGGGTATGTAATTATCGGAAAACCCTACATTTCCCACTTTGTCCTTAACTTCAGTAAATATAAGCAACTTTATCATGGATTTTGTAATAAAACCATGCCCAGAAAATGTATAAGGCAAGTAGAGGAGCAAACCTTAAACTTGCAAATTTGAAATAGTTAGCAGAGATCCATTCCTGTAGTCTAATGTGTTCCAATAGTCTCTACAGTTTAACAAAATGTAATTTACCTTTTCACAAGGATGCATTTTCTTTTATTTAAATTGAGTTAACTTTTTTTTAATTCTCTGCGCACAATGATGGAAATAAAATAAAAGGAACTCTTTTTCTGCTCTTCGTGACAGTAAGGGTACTGATCATGATGTAACGTACATGTTTTCTTCTTTTTTTATCTTCAGGATTTTTGTCAATAGAAGCTTGGCAATGGAGAAAATCAAATGCTTCGGCTTTGACATGGATTACACTTTAGCAGGTGAGTTAAAAAAGACATTGACCTACTAATTTCCTTTACAGGAACAGTTTTGAAAAAGTAACATTTGTGATGAACTAAGAACATGAACTGAAAATTAGCAATTTAAAGCCAACTATTTCTCAGTTACTGATCTTATTATTGCTGTTTTGAGTAATATTTTAAAGTTTATTAAACTGTTAATGTAGTTTTTATACTTTAAACCTTAATATTCCCACGTATACATATTAAAGGGAACATATAAAAATTGACTTTTTTGCCTCTTTTATGATTCAGGGAGGTGTTAGAGTTAAATATTTTGTCAACTCTGTAAGTAAAGTTTGATCTAAATGTTTCCTGTGACGTCCAATTAGTGCCTTTTCGTCTCCTTAATCTTTTACTATTTTCCAGTCGTCGACTGCTGATTATTGTGATGCTTTAACTTTACAAAAGTTCTCATCAAATGTTATATTTATTTACCTGGTTCCCAAAGCCAGTGAGAATATTTTCTGGGTCAAATGTCTCTCTATTTGCCCGTTCTCTTTGTTCTCCAACTCGGCTCCAGTTTTTGGTCTCCACACGTCTAAAAATAAATCTTCACCGACTTTGAAAAGCGGGTCACATTTGTTTGTCAGGTTGAGCAGCGGTGGCTCCCCCGATGTAGGGATTTACTTTCAGTTCCTGTGAGGCTCTGCTGGCTTCATCCTCCTTCCAATAGCAGGAGATTTTCCAGATGCTCAGCTGTTGACATGACTCAGTTTATAGGAGCTTGTAACCAAGTGTTAATGTTTGCTAGAAGTGTGGCTATCGTGTATCTTTGGACAGTTTTCAAGTTTTCATCACTGAAGTGCCTCATCGGTTTCACTCAATACCTGCTGCTTAATGTCGGCACCCCTGATGACACTGCTAAGGTTTTTTTTTTAGAAGCTGTTCACATGCGTGTCGTCTTTTTAAACAAGAAATTGAGATCCGGTGTTCACAACGTGCATCAACAATGCTGTCAGAGGAAGCAGAAAGAAAAGATGAGGCTTTAGGTAGCCAACGGCTCTGATGACTGGGATGCAATAATTTCATTTATTACAGCGTGCTGTGAAATTGCCCCTTTTAAAGATATATATTTTTTTTTCCCGATTTTTCATTCTTAAATGTTTCAGATCTTTTTGCTATGCAATAAAGATAGCCTTAGTAATAATAAAGCAGATTTCCAATCATGATTTAATTGTCACAGTTTCAAAAAAGTGTTCAGGTCAACTTAGCCCACTAAGCTAAGGAGTGTTTGTGTTCTCCATATCGGTAAACCATTCATTTATGTGTTTATTACACTTGGAAATCTTCTTAAACATCCAGGTGCCCCTCTTTGCAGAATTGATTTTATCCAGTTTTTTGTTTAGAGGTGGACTTTCTGGTTCATTTTGAATCAAAGTTCTGGTACATAATCTAGAGCCTAACTAATAATGTTCTTTTTTTGAAAAGTTGACACCTTCCAGGACTTTGCTTTGCACAATGTACTGAGTGTCTGAGATCTTTGAACTTCTTTCATGTCGTCAGACGGGTTCCATTTTTGGGATTTTCTTGTTTTTCTGGCTGAGCATTTCCAATTGAAAGCAGTTTCAGTCAAATATGCACAACAGTGGGTTGGGTGATGTTGCTTAACTCCATTTAATCATCCAAATATAATTAATAAATCTTTCTCTTTTTTTTTTAGTTTCATAATAAAAAGATATAAATGACATTGCTTTAAGAAACTTTTTTATTTCAATCATCCACTATGACGGTTGACCTAATTTAGCAGCTCAGGTTCTACAGCAGGAAATTTTTTATTTTTTTATCCACATCCTGCAGTTGCAGCCGAGAGGGAGAACCTTATCGTTTTTTGGGGTTTTTTCTTGAGTTTTTACGGCACTAGTGGCTCGTTTTTTTCAACGGTAGGCTGAAAGGAAAGGGGGTATGAGAGAGGGGGAGAGACATGAGGCAAAGAACCACAGGTCAGATTCGAACCTGTGGTCCTTTGCCTCATGTCGCCTCAAGTCTGCCACGTCGAGGCCTCCGTACAAGGGTCATGCGGGCTAACCGCCGGGCCACCTGCACGCCCTAGAACCTTATAGTTAGTCTGGTTACAAATCTGCTCAGCCATTAATGTTAACTAGGCCCAACATAGACTCAGAATCTTATGAAATTTTATGGTACTATTGAAATAATGATAGAAGTGATGACAAAAAAAACAAAAACAAACTAAAACTACTTTTCGAAAGTCTAAAAATTTCAAACAGGCTTCTTTAGGACATTAGTTGCATAAAGAAGTCTAAATTTGTATCACTCAACCTCCAAAAGTATCCACAGTCATATTAGATAAAGCTGTAAATGCCCAAATGGAAAAAAATGCAGAAGAAATAAAGTAGAATAAAGATTCTGACAATTCATCCCCTATTTTATTTTTCAGTCATCACTAATTCTAATTTAAATCAAAATCATGACTAGAAATTTAATTACGATAACTATAAACTATACGATGTTAACCAGTTGTCAAATGTACCTACCATACATACTGTAATTAAATTATAACTACCACTAGCAAAGATGCACAGCAGGTGAAGAAGATTCAGGCTCCATATTTCTCTGTCCTTATCTGTAGCACAGGGACATTTTATATTCCTTTACTGGAGCAGTTTAAACTAAGCCAATCCACTGCTGAAAAGACAATTAGAAACAAAAAATATTGGAAAAGTTTCATGTAACTTTAATATCAAGTCTGGATATTTATACACAAACAGTCCTTTTCTTATGCCTTGGCCACAAGTTGATAGCTGGAGAGTTGATTTTAGGGGCCTCTCCTCTATCAATAGTTTCCATGACAACTGACTCAGGTGGGCCTGATTGTGGCGACTGTGATTATGTGTTGCCCTGCATACATTTGTTTGTTTCCTATTATGAGGCTGTTAATGATCAAATATACTAAATCTGAATATTCCTGTGGAGGTGTCATTAAACCTCTTCATAGTTTATTTAGTATTTAAATGATTTTTGAAATAGTTGATTTGATATTCCATTCATTTTTATCTAAATCCTGTCTTTTTAATTGCTCCGTTACCCTGAGAAATTTGCTCAGCAACAGAAAGAGGAAAAATTTGTGATCTCTCCAGTTAACCCCTTTTAAACGTCACATATTTTGTAATACTTTCCAAGCTAAATCAATATCAGACCGGTCAACCTAGCTTTATCTGTCCTGCCGTTCCTAAAGGGAACAAGTCAATGAATGCGGCAAAAGTTGCAGCAACCTATTTAGACCTAGATTACATTGAGATGCTATCAGTTTTGTCCTAGTTTTCCAGCAGACTTTGGGCTTAATGTCAGCCCCCGAGGCAGTGCTGGAGTCCTCGTATTTTTCCACATTGTGCCTCACCCTGTCCTTATTCTAAAGCAAAGCCGTTCATTTGTGCAGTGATGGAAACTGATAAATTAAGACCCATATTGTTAGCTCCTTAATATAGACTGCTATGTGACATGGTTCAGTCAATGTGTCCCCGTTATAGAGCCTTGGATTATGTGATCTGTTAGAAGAGCAGTGCCGGTTGTTTGCTTTCTGTGTGAAGGGTGTACGTTACATCCAGGCCTGAGCTGACCTGGCCTATGAACTGCTCAGCAATGGGAGCACTGGGAGTATAATTATCTGCCAATAATCCCATCAAGGATGCGAGCGGGCATATTCATGAAGCTGATTCTGAGTATCTAATGACAACAGGAGCAATGTGAGCAGAGGGCCACATCTGGAGATTGCAGAAATGCACGAATGTCAAGGAACAGTGATATAGCAGCTCTCTACACCTACATTATGCAACAGTCAGCTTCCACTAGGATGACACAATGTTTTTGCTGGATACGTTATTTAAAGAAATCTGAAACGTTCTGTCAACATATTCTCAGCTCAGGATGTAACGATAGCGGCTCTATTAATCACTCAGCACTTCGGCCTCTAAAGGTCTAAAATAGCATTTGTTGACTTGAGTTACTGTGCTCTGTGGTTTGAATAGTTTTGAAGATGGGTATGTGACCTAATTCAATTGTACAACCCCCCTAATTAAATACGAAATAGCAAAACAATACTGTTTGCAACTGGTTGATTCATTCATCAAAGGAAAAGGCAATCCAAAATAACCTGTTTCCATATGAAAATGTTTTTTTCCCCAAAACCTAATAATACGGTTTATTCCATCCTCGGAAGCAACTGTCATCAAGTGTTTATGAAGGCTGCCAACAAGTTCTTTTTCCATTACTGCTGAGGAATCTGGGGCCTCTTTTCTTTGGAGGCTCCTTTAAATAGAAACTTTTGCTGAGTTTCAAGCTTGGATTTTGTCAAACCAAAACCAAAAAACAAAAATGGTGTTATTGTAGATGGCCTGTCCAGTTGAGCTTAGCACACTTGGTGAAACATCAGCTTAATAGGAACTAAATGCAGAAAGTGATGAGAGCATAGGTGACTGAGGGGAAAACGACTCTCAAAATAGATTTTTCTTCTACCTCAGATGTTCAAGATTATGACAAGGGAGCAAGCAGGAGTGGACTGGGATGTTGGCTGCCTCTCTGGGCATTGAGCCCAAACCCTCAGTTTACTGTGAGAAAAACATTTGGAGGAGGAGGGGGGGCTGGATTGCGACACTCTGCAAGTTTATAATGCAGAAACTGGCCAGTCTTGGCAGAGATTTTTGCAAAATTTATAAATTAAACCAGTTGTCCTGCACATTGGTTCATTTTTTACACATGCATGCTTTCTACAGAACCCTGCAGATGTTTTCCTGCAGTGCTGTTCTGTCCCCTTAAGAGCCATCCACCAGTTCACCTCCCCAAAGTCTTCCCCACACCCCACTGGGAGCACAGAAACTAGGCGACAACACAGAGTGCATTCTTACTTGCGTATTTATAACATCTGACAAGTTCTTTTTTTCGCACCAGCCTCAGAAAGCATTTTAGTCTTGCACCGGCCTTTTCTTAGCCCATGTTTATATTTCCAGAGTCTGGGTTAAATATGGATTACGGGCAAGCAGGAGGCTCAGTGGTCTCCCCAGAGCTCAAATTTAACTTTAAAGCTTTATTATTCACACAACTCATCATTTTTCTTTATGGAGTTGGGCGTTACATGGTGGAAGTGGCAAAAGAGGGAATAGTTGGACAACTACAGAGGGAGAAAATGTCAGCAAAATATTGATACCAGAGTTGGTTCTAAGTGAATAAGTATAACCTGGAAACATTACATTTACAAAAGTGAGTAAGATACTTTTTACTGTATAGATCAGTATGGGGGGAAAAAGGGACTTTTTTTTACTCTAGTGGTGGTAGGTTCATGTCAACTGGGTGTACAGGGGTCATGGGAAGCAATGACGCAGAAGCCTTGCTTCATACTACACGAGCTACAACTAATGTGGGGGAATTTTTTGCCTAGCAAAGCTTTGGCCATGCTCAAGATTTTTTTTACAACATTTATCTGGTTTTTCCTGGCTTTTTTCTCCCCCACCAAGAGGTTAATGACTAAACACAGCTGAAATGATTGGGAATCTGTATTTTACCACAACTTTTAGCCATGGTCAGGATCTTCTTTTAAAGTTTGTTCTTCTTGAGACCATCCTTCTGGTGTAGCATAGTTTGTGCAGCATTTGTTGGTTTATATAGCCTTGATTGGACTTTATCAAAGTCCAAACGGCTACAAATCCTGGCCGGATTGTTAAATGTGTTTTTTGTAACTGATCTGCAAAATGAAACGCGATAACAATGCAAGACAGTAAACCCATGTTAACATGAAGGTTTACATTTTACAGCAACTTAACTAAAACACTTAATAGCTTAATAGAAATAAAATTGAAACATGAATGGATCTTACTGAGAGCAGGTCTGACACAAATTTTCCTCTTTTTATGTAATAAGAATGCATGTTTGGTCAAATATATCAAACCAAGTTTAAATGTTTGTGTGTTTTAATATTCAGTCTACAAGTCGCCTGAGTACGAGGCGCTGGGCTTTGAGCTGACGGTGGAGCGGCTGGTGTCCATCGGTTATCCCCAAGAGCTGCTCAGCTTCGTCTACGATCCATCATTTCCCACCAGGTGAGAACAACCTCAAATGTTTCATTAGCTTTTGGGGTTAATGGCAAAGTTTTTTTTCTTTCCGGCTCATCCATTTCACTTTTTAGCCTCTGAATCTCTGAATGGGTTGTAAGATAAACCTGAGAATTAGGGTTTAAAACAAAAAACTAAATATGAAGTCAGTCGGACGGCTTCGTCTAACTCTGTGCGGTCTGAAGTATCAGTAGTCCTTCAGATTAATTCACATTTTGCCACATTATAACAAAAACATGTAAATGTTTTACTTTAATTTGAGATAGATACTCAAAGTAGCTCATGATTGAGAAATGGAAGTAAAATCATAAATAGTTTTCTACAAATATAAATGTTCACAATTATTTACTACTGTTTGTTGGTCTATCATTAAAAAAACATTGTTATAAAGTTCCTTAAAACTTTTGACTCCAAAGCCAGAAATGTAGAAACAAGTTAAAGCAATGTGAATGATTTTGGATTTGTAATATATTTAATGAGCCTTTATGGAAAATAAATAGGTAAACACCCCTTAAAAAAAAAAAAAAAACGCACACACAAAAAAGGTTCGTAATGAGTTTTCAAACAAGTAGAAAATCCATTTAAAAACACATGAGGACTGATAGAATCACAAGAATCATGTGAGAGAAAAATCCCATTAAACTTAAACATGAGTCGACGTTTTAACAAAGAATGTCAAACGATTTCCAGACGTCATGAAATTCCATTTTCAATAGCAGTCATCACACACCTTATCTTTTTCAAATTTCTAATCCCATAGAATGTTGAGTAATGTGATGGTTTGGGCGGGGAAGCTTCTTTGCATTTCGAGAGGATAACAATGAGCCAATAAGGTTGAAAGGCAATACCTCTGTGGGAGGATTTTAATATCATTTTCCTCTTCTTTTCAGAGGCCTTGTGTTTGATACCATGTATGGAAACTTGCTGAAGGTTGACGCTTATGGTAATATCCTGGTCTGTGCCCATGGATTTAATTTCTTTCGAGGGTAAGCTGGTTTTGATGCTCTTCGTTTAAAATCTCTATTTCAGTTACAAAAAATAGGATTGTGAGCTTTCTCTTCTCTCCTTGTACCCCTTCCAGCCCTGATATACGTGAACGATATCCGAACAAGTTTATCCAGCGGGATGACACAGAGCGTTTTTATATCCTTAACACACTCTTCAACCTTCCAGGTGAGGGTCAAGGAAACTGTCCCCAGATTATTTCTCATCCTAAAAACTCGGCCTCACCTAATTTTCTTCTTCTTTTTTTTTTTTTTAAAGAAACCTACCTTTTTGCTTGTCTTGTGGATTTTTTCTCAAACTGTGACAGATACACAAGGTAAGAATCTTCCTTTTAGATTACATCTCATGTAACAGCACAAGTTCTGCATGTTGACATAAAGACATTTGCAAGCCACTCAGGGGGAAAAGCAACTGCCCTAAAGCATGGGAGCGTCCTGGTGTCCTAAAGGCTAATATCAGCTTATTCCAATTAAAGGCTAATCCCCTTGGACTTCAGTCAGACCTGTTTATTCTTAATAGAATTACAACATTAATATCAGATGATAAACAAGCATGGATCCTTTAAAAGATTAATAGCAGTTAAAGGAAATCTTACTAACTGTCCACATAAAATAAAGCAAAATAATCTTCAATAATCATTTTTTTATCCCTTCTGTAAAAGAGGATTAATGGCCTGTAATTTATCTTTAATTTTTTTGTGGATGTAATCTGGAATGGCTGCATGTCCTTTGTCCTCTGAAACCTGGTTGTTGGTCTTTTAGGGGGAGATTGCTTTCCTGTTTGGCTGGGGACCCTCCAACAAGGGAAGGCTATCCCATTTAAAAGCAAACAAAAAGAAACAAATGTAATGTTTTCAAAGACCCTCTGTAAATATATGGCCTGTCCGACGGCTGTGCGCGTGTCTCTCTCTCCTCCATTTTCCCAGCTGTGAATCGGGCTTTAAAAATGGGGACCTCTTCATGTCCTACAAGAGCATGTTCCAGGACGTCCGGGACGCGGTGGACTGGGTTCACTTCAAGGTAAAACCAAAACAACTGCAGTTTGTTCTTGTTGTTGTTGTTGTGATTTTTCTCTCTCACATAAATCATACCTGAAGTTAATATGATCGTGTTTATTCTATTTGAATAAACACGATCATAGAAGGTCTTTAGGGTTATTTAGGTAAATTTGAACTCTACATAAAGATTTCTGTAGATGCCTTAGAAAAGTTATTTTCATCCTGTTAACCCTTTACTATCTTGTATGTCGATTTGAAGGAGCTCCTTTTTTATTTGTTAAACCATGTAAGGTATTGATGAATAAGTGTCGAAGTCTTCATATATGATCTGATGAGAAATAGTCAATGAAAAGAAAACTACTGATCAAAATAGGATTTCATAATAGTCTCATTGTGAAAAGTAGCAGAAATAAGAGGATTTGTAGCCTAGTAAACGAGCCCCACCCGCCAGCGGCCAAAATAATTTTTGCCTACGAGTTGATGGATAACACCTTTCATCTCCCATTTAGTCTGGTTTATCAGGCTAGAGGATTTGTCTTATTTAAATAAATGGCCAAGAATGTGTTGGTGCATCAAAAATACACATTCAAAAAAATTTTTTGCAAATATTCTCAGTGTGTTTTTCCATTATTAAAACTAACCAGATAACACTCAAAGGTATAGTGCAGGATTTTTTGTGAAATTTCTATCCACTCTTTAAAAAAAAAAAAAAAGAAAATGCAGATGCACAACACTGTACCCACTCCTGAGAGGGAACACCTACTGTATTAAAAGCGCGTGAGAGCTCTGTTTAAAAGTTGCTGTGTGCATCACTCATACAAGCTTACTTTCCAAAAGAAGATTTGCTATTTTTCCACTATGTCAGACTCACCACCGGTAAATGAAAATGGGGACGAGCAATTAGGATGGACTTATATAAACCTATCACCAGAATGGTAAACAATTAGGAGGACCACTTATTTAGATGATCCACCCTGAAAAAGAACATCCTCCACTTTACCTTAAGTGTTGTATTCTATGACAGCACTTCTCAGCTGTTTATGCAGAGTAGCGAAGGATGTTTAACGTACCGTTTACAGTTATAGTGATACATTTCTTTTCATAATAAAAATGTTTTATTATTATTTTATTTTGTCTTAAAGATAATTCAAATAATGAATGTATCCATAAAACAGACTTTCTTTTTTTTTTTTCTTCGGTGGGGGGTTGAGAAATGTAAAGATTATGCTTAAATGTGGTCATTGTGGGATGTCTAGTACGGAGCCCCTCTGGTGACGTGGGCAGAATTTTTTTTTTGAAGATGTTAAGTTGTGGCCACAACTTAGTAAGGCGTAGCCAAGAGATAGATAAGTCGTGGCCTAAACTTACCATCACTGGACTTTCGCTTAGTTTTTCTGTAAACATTTTGACACCTATCAGAGAGTCTGCTGGTAGACCTGGATGACCGAGAATTTGCACAGATAGTTAATTCAGATAAATCTCTTCAGGTGCTTAAAAAAAGTAAACAGAACTGCCTATGGATCCTTAGCAGCTCCCCCCCAGAGGTTCAAATTCACATTTGTACAGTCACCTGAATCAACAGAATCCACATCTCATCTACTTGATGAGATGTGTTTCTTTGATATTTTTTTTTTTTTTCAGTTATCATCACTTGTAGTGTCTAATTTGTGTCCTATGTTTTCTTTGCAGGGAACCCTGAAGGAGAAAACGGTAGAGAACCTGGAGAAGTATGTGGTGAAAGATGTGAGTATTTTGTACTCTGCACATATCCTCTGGGTAGAGAGAACACATTTTGTATCTCATTCTTTGTGAAGATAACTAAGCTTCTTTCCTCTTCTTTTTCCCATCAGGGGAAACTCCCACTTCTCCTGAGCCGAATGAATGAAGTAGCCAAAGTTTTCCTGGCTACTAACAGCGACTACAAATACACAGATGTTAGTACAGACCAACTGTGAACTTTTTAGGCAAACACAAAAAGATGAATGACAAAAAATGTTTAAATTGTAATGTTTTTTTTTGTTTTTAAATCTCTTTTGTCACAGAAAATTATGAGTTACCTGTTTGACTTCCCTCATGGCCCCAAGGTGAGATCATTTAGATGAAGTTGCAGATAAACCGTGAAAACGCAAAACATTATTGCACCTTTATGTGTAACTCTTTACTTTTGCTCTTTTGGATTCTTACCTTCTTTAGCCTGGTACTTCTCACCGGCCCTGGCAGTCTTACTTTGACTTGATCTTGGTGGATGCCAGAAAGCCTCTCTTCTTCGGGGAGGGAACCGTCCTCAGACAGGTCGACACGGTGAGCAGGACAGAAACTCTTTTGGTTGCTGTTGTGTGGGAGATTTTGAAAGTTAAAGCCATGCCATATTACTTCCTCAGAGTTTGGATGATTGAGCAGGTTTAATTGAATAGATTTAAAACATTTTGGTCAAAATGTGAGAGAAATCTGTGCAGCCATTAAATATGAAAGTACTAACTGCTTTCAAGCTGGTGATAGTCAATTTACAGATACACTTTCAGTTATTTCTGCTATTTTTATTTCATTTATTTTTTTAATCCAGACCACAGGACGCTTAAAGATAGGCACCTACACAGGACCTCTGCAGCATGGGATCGTGTACTCGGGAGGTGAGCCTTACACCCCTTCACTTTTTCAGTTTTACTTCTTTTTCCCTTATTTTATTTTTTTTTTTTTACAATAAAAGCAATCCTTCTATGTAACTAATGAGCATATATCTACTCCAAGGCTCCTCAGACATTGTGTGTGACCTTCTGGGGGCCAAAGGGAAGGACATTTTGTACATCGGGGACCATATATTTGGAGACATCCTCAAGTCTAAGAAGCGTCAGGGATGGAGAACGTTCCTGGTTATCCCAGAGCTGGCCCAGGAGCTGCACGTGTGGACCGACAAAAGCTGTGAGTCTGAAGACAAACATTGACAAAACTCTGATGAAAAAGAAAAGTCCATATTCAGCTATTTTTTTTCTCACGTTTTGTCCTCGGTACCATGAAAACCTAAATATAAGATACAATCTGGCTTGTGTAACACAACTGAAGTGCCAAGATACCTGTGCAACCTGAAAACAACCAGAGGTTTCAGCGGCTTTTTGTCAACACAAGACTCGGACAACCCAGAAAGTTTTAGATGATAGAAATCTACTTTACATTGACTTGCAGATCATTGATCCTTAAAACCAAAGATGTCTTTTCTGTATTTATAAAACTTGCTCCAAAGTAGAAAACTGTATGTAGGCACTTATTAGCGCTAAGTAAAAAAAGTTAATAATGTTGTTCCTGAAGCTTTTACGTTTCATCTTAATTAATTCAAACATGGCTGGGAAAAATACAAATAAGCAGTTACAGATTTGACGACGGTCTGTGGCTGAAACGTTGCATAATAAAGGTTTAACAGAGTGTAGTAGTGCCCCCTCCTTTTTATTCTATTTTTTTTCCTCCCACCTGTTCATGTTCTGTTCAAGATGTGTGGAGTTTGTTTAGATCACAGATAAATATTCAGATTTACTTGTAGTATATTTAAAGTTAACAATTTAAAGTGATTTTAGGGAAAAAAACTACAATTGTGTGTAGACAGAAACTTGGTATTGTAAAGGGGAGAAAAATGATCGAATATGTATGAAAGGATTGGTGCCAGTTTAAAAGTAATTTCTTCTGGCAGTTTGATGGTGTGATTTTATTTTTATGGGCAGAGTTTGAACTTTAAAGGGTTTTTATGTGGCTATTTTAGAAAATCTGAAAAATAACGATGCTTTTATAAAAGAAGATGTTAACCTTTCATATATACCCAGGCCAGCTGACAGCTTTACTAGCCTGCTTCTGTGTCTTAAGGACCAAACTTAAGGAGATAGCATTATTTGGGTTTCTTTGTTTTTCCAGGCTTTTTGTTCATCTTAATTAACCCTTAATGTCATAACAAAAAACTCTTTACATTGTAAAGTGTTAAATAAACTCAAAAGAAAGTCACATGTGAAGCCTAAATTACTTATTTCTCATGGAGTAGATGCATAGAGAAAGAAACTGAAGGAGCATCAGGTTTCCTTCTGCATTTGCTGTGCATTGTCTCCAGTTTAGAGGCCATGTTGTTTTTTGTTTTATGTTATCAATATATTAAGAATATATTTATATAATATAATAATATATATTAACAATATTAAGGAATAGATGATGAAGTTTCCATTAAAAGACTACTGATTACATGAAAACAGGATGATGTGGCTGAAGCGGAAGGGCTGACACTGGAAATGAAAAATTGACCCCTCATTTCGCTCTTTGATGTTTTCCAGCACTATTCGAGGAACTTCAGGGCTTGGACATTTTCTTGGCAGAGCTTTACAAGTAAGAGCTGCCCCCTTTTGGACTGATTTCCTCCCCCTCCTCTCTTTTCGCCGTCCCACTCCTCTTGTCCTGACATCATCGACTCTGCTGTACTTTGCTCCCTGCTGCCTGTTTGAAGGCATGCAGGCTGAAAGAACAACAGGGTCAATAGGGTGAAGTCTGGAGGGGTCGCCTCATGCAGGCCACCCGATAACTGGATTCACTGAAAGTGTATTTATAGCCTGCCACAGCTCGCTGTTACACCACCCCTTTGACTTCCTACATTTTAGCAAACTGATATGTGTGCCCTCCCCATCCCTTCAGCCTGTCCTAATCATCTCCCCCCCCCCTCGTCTTTCCACAGACATCTGGACAGCAGCAGCAACGAGAGGCCTGATATCAGCACCATTCAGAGAAGAGTCAAGGTACAGCCTCTGTCACTGTTTATCCCGCACCTGTTCCCTTGTCTTTACCGCTATCTGGACCTACAGCCTGTTTGGAGAGTTTTACGGCATCTGAAATTAAAAGCCCCCCATCTCATTGACACTCCATGCAGCTATATATATATATATATATATATATATATATATATAGTTTGACTAATTTCTTTGATTCTTATATTAGTAAAGCATTTCTGTTTCTCTCAACTTTCCTCCCTCAGAAAGTCACGCATGACATGGACATGTGCTACGGCATGATGGGTAGCCTTTTCCGCAGCGGCTCCAGACAGACTCTCTTTGCCTCCCAGGTGATGCGTTACGCTGACCTGTATGCCGCCTCCTTCATCAACCTGCTGTATTACCCCTTCAGCTACCTGTTCAGAGCCGCACACGTCCTGGTGAGTTTATCACCATCAGAGGAGGATTTAAGGATTTGTCTTGACATTTTTAGGTTTTGTCATCTGTACCAATAGAAATAAGCTGCAACAACTTTTATTTTACAGTGACGCTTCTTATTAGTTTTTGATTTCTTCTTTATTTCCACAAGGTTCTTATTTTATTCTGCACAGCTTTGACCAAATTAAATCACCAATGGATAATATGTGATGAGAAGATAACATAGGGCTGTGTTGTTAAAGTTGGTATTTTATTTACTCTGCTCCATCCTTAGACACTACATTCAATAGAAAAACTGTTTTGATTAGTTAAATATATTCCGCTATGTGGACATTTTATGAAAATATATCAAATACCGTATATTCTGGACTATAAAGTGCAACTCACTATAAGCCCATTAAATGTTTTGGAAAAACTGTAAACCTATACATATATAGGGACGAAAAAAAATGCTAGCTCATGTTAGCTTGTTAGTTCACAGCAGTAAGAGCTTCTACTGAAAGATCGGGTTTCTTCAGCTCTTTATTTCAGGAGTTGAGATCAGACTTTTTACTCGTTCGGCAGCTTTAATGCAGCAAATAAATGTCAAAATGTTTGCATTCAGGACATTTGTATTCTGTTGTGCCTGCTGCTAGCATGGTTAACAGCATAACAGTGAAAAT